ATGTCATATGACGACAAATATAGACACTTCTCCATGGCAAAGATGAGACAAGTTTTAAATATTTACAATACCCGTAAACAAAAAGGTTTGGGAAACCACTCTCCCGAAGAAATGAAAAACAACCCCGACTTAGAGAAAGACTATATATTTAATAGTTTAGTCAAAAGAGACAAACAAGAAAGAATGCCAGGCTTCAAACTTAAGAAAGGTGACAAAGTAAAAATAGAAATACCTAAACGCGACCCATATGAAAATACTATTGACTATGACAACAATGGGAACTCGACAGGTACTCGCATTCGTGTTCGTAAAAATAGAAGAAAGTATACAAGAGAATATTATGAAGTTTTAGGCAAACATGGCAAAATGTACAGACTGCAAGCAGAAGATAAAACTACTATTGTCAGACCTCGTTTCAAACTTGTTAAGGTTCAAGGTGGTATACTTTCAAAGACAGTTCCTAACAAATATAAGACAACTCCTGACGAATATGCTAAAGAAGTTGAAAATGACGACTAAGCATTTCTATACCATGCGTAAACTGTCATGTAAGGTGGCATGTAGTCTTTACTTTGTCCCGTTGTTTGCGTATACCCTGAAACGCGATGTGTATGGTTTCCTTCTCCCTGTGTGCTACCCCAGAAACAATTTATAGCAAACTGAACGTCGTCTTTAACATCATATCCTTTACCTTTTTTCATTGCTGACCAATCCCAAAATCTATGCTTATGCCAACCTGCTTGAGATGTACTTAAATCTATGTAGTGACTGTGTGCAGGTAAGTTTTCACCTGAAATCGTTTTACTTCCACCTGTTTCCTTTGAAGAGTTTGCACAATACAAAAACCTGTCGACTATTTGAGTCCAAGTTCCAAAACCAAGTACTACTTCTGGTCTGGTAGAGTTCATTGACGTGTAAATAGAACCTATAGGATATAGTGTTTGAAGTATTTCTGTCTTTAACGTTTGAAGCTCTGTTTTGTCAGCTTTCTTATCATATAAATCTTGAGCAGTGAATTTAACTTTGTTTTCATCCTCCATGACATAGACATTTCTACATCTAATGTATTTCATCGTTGTTATGTCATCCTCCGATGTTAAACCTTGTGGAAAGTTAGGAGGTTTCCAATTTAATACATCCCCACCAGTTCCATCAGGTTCTTCAACCGTTCCTGCAATATTTTCTATACCAACAGTTGCGAAGAAATCGTGTGTATGTCCAACGTCACTTTTCTTGTTTAAGGTTTCTTGTAAGTTTGTAATATTTGCAATGGTATGTGTATGAGTCTTTTTAGAATATTCTTTGTCAGCTCTTGTCACTTCACTTGACATTTTATTGTCAACATATGTTTTATCCGCTTTGTCATCTAACATTTCTTGAAGTTCATCTACGTCATAGATGTTATGTGTATGATGTTTTTGTGGGTATGTTCTATCTGTCCATGCGAGAATATAGTCTCTTGTTGCATCTACATACTCTTTGTCAGCTTTGTTGTCAATATCTGCCTTCAAAAGAAGTTCATCTATAGGTTTCTCGTTTAAAGTTCTTTTTGTTGGATTTATACAAACAGTATGGTTCTTACTGTCTTGAAACAGAAACTCGTCTGTTAAAGGGTTTATCGTCAGTTTTAAGTTTCCTTCTTTCAATGACTCAGATATCTTAGAATAGTTTGAAAAGTTTGTTGTGTTCTTATTTAGAGCTTGTACAATGAGTTGTCGGTTGTGTTGTATTTCTCTCATAGACGCTGTTTCTTTCGACATTTTTATTCTAGATAAAATATGCTTTCAATAGAAAAAGAAAATTCAAGAGTTGCTACAACTAAACCATTAGATGAACTTTTTACTAATGTCGGTCAAAAGTTTGAGACAGAGACCGTAAAGCATGAAGGCTATCGTTTTGACTACCCATTGAGATGGCTAAGAGACCCATCCGTCACAAAGGCTATTGGCTTTCGTAGAATGAAGTTCATTTCAGAAGCCATACATGGTTTCCCATTTACGGTCGGTTTTGAAGTTCGATACTATAACAAAGAAAAACGTGCGTATGAGAAATTTGTACAGGGAAAACTTTTACAAGTTAGTTTGCTTGTAAACTTAGAAACAACTCTTCAAGCTTTTCAAGAAAAAATAAACGATATCTATCTCGAATATGCAAAACAGTACAACATTGACGAAGGAGAGTACCATCTCGATATTTTATATGACAGGAAAAATGCAACTGTTAAAATCAATAGAATAGAAGACCTTGGAGAAGACGTTTATATTTCTACAAAATATAACAACTTGGCATGGTATAGATTTTTGAGGATGTTAAATCAGCCTGCAGAATATCCAGTACACCCGAACTTTTATGAAGTCGAAAACCCTAATGGAACATATGAAAATGTTTTCGACTCAGATGCTATTATCGTTCATGCTTCATTTTCTGGTGCACAAAACTCTTTTTTATGCTTGGCAAATGACTTTTACGAAAAACCTACAAAGCTATATGAACCACCAAGTGGAAGTATTTCAGACTTTCAAGTATGGTTTACAACAGATGGAAGAAAGAGAATAGTTCCATTATACCATGCGTTTTACTTAGAACTTAGTCTCATATACAACTACTATCGAACGGTAAAAATATAATCTTTTAATACGGTTGAGGTGTTGGATTTGGTTGCCAACTTGACTGTGGTGCAGGTTCAGGCTGTTGTATAACAGGAGCTTGTTCTTCTGGTTCAGGGTCTTTAGGTATAATACCAACGAACTGACCTACTCTTTTACCAATATTTTTGACTCCGTTCCAAATTCCTCTTCCTACGGTTTTTATTCCATTCCATATACCTCTTCCAACATTTCGAAAGAAGTTTCCTATTCTTCCAAAGAAACCCATTTTACTATATGTAAAAATCTAATGTCCACCTAGTCTCTTACGTTTCCTGTTGAGTTCCATAGCATTTTTTAACTGGAGCTCATACATTCTATTTCTCCTCTGGTAGAAAACATATTCCGGGTCAACTCCTGTGTTCGCGTCATCTGCATAGAGTTGTTTATATCCCACTTCAGGGTTTGTATAAAACTCTTTCCATCTCATATTTGCATACCATGGTGGTAAGCCTAACGCAGCGTCATTTGACATGGCAGTTTGCATTTGTACATCTGTTGGCACTTGACCATAGTTTGCCATTGCAGTTTGTATTCTAACTTCATTTGGAATATTCTCTGGGTTTGGTTGTCCAGGTTGCTGTGCATTCGCTAAGTTCTGTGCGTCCATTTAATATTAGATAAAAATATCTCTTACGAGTACATATGCTGAACATTTGCAGACATTGGTTCATCTTCATATTCTCTATATCTTTCTGCCACGTCAAATAAGTAAATGACACAATGGAAAAAACCTAAAACAAGTAGTCCTATTTCAAACCACATTTACTTACCAATAAAATTTCTTTGTTATGACACTTTTTCCGGTTTATAGGACCTCTCTCATATTCTATCTTATCGTATCTAAAATCATAGTCATGTATATCCTCTAACCATCTCATAACGGTTTCCAAACCACTTTTATCGGATGTAAAGTAAAAGCATGGATGGTTATGTAAAACGTCTAAAGTTTCTAAAGAGTCTCTCAAAGTCCAGTCTACTTGGTATTGAAAATCGTATGTGTTATAGAACGGCGGGTCTACTATAAAGAAAACATTTTCCTTGTTTTTATATTTTTCATACAACTCTGTCCAACGACATCTCACAAACTCTATACCCTCAGTATATTTTTCTATGTTCTCTTTGAAAACCTTTGTATAGTTAAGATATAAAACGTTTGACATAAGTGTTTCAATGTCATGAACTCTTATAGAACCACTATACAATAGTCTAGAAGATATACTATCCCAGTCAATATACTCTGCTTTTTTCAAAACCTCTCTGACAGTATTTTTCTTATCTAATGGTATACGTTCCATCTTACCTATAGGTATCTTTTCTTTCAACTCACTCAATATTTTGTTTGTGTCTGGTATATGTTTGAGACGGTTCATATAGTTGTCGAAGTCATTGCATATAATCTTTGAGTCAGGAAATACAGTATGGCACAAATGAGATATATAGAAACTTCCACCGAACAAATCTACAAATGTTAGACCATTCGGTAGTTTCTTAAGTTCTCTCAATAGAATATCTTTACATCTACTCTTATTTCCAAAGAAGGGTAACGGTGGTTTTGTAAAATTCATTTTATATTTAATAAAAATGTTTTTTTCCTGAAAAGTGACAGAAAAGTGACAAAACATCTTCGGGGCTAGAGGGCACGAAGTGCCTGGAAGCCCCAATGCCTTTGTTTTTTTTTTTTTTTTTTTTTTTGAAGGTGGCAATTTTTTATGTTTTAGATGGTTAACGAAATTATAATATAGATATTGATCCATTATTTTTATTATTATGAATATATTTGTATTTTATGAATTTATATTAAGGATGTCGTTTTGTCCCCCCGGGGGTTGATTGCGTCCCCCAAGTGGGGGGCGCTGGGGGACAAAAATCTATGAAGAGTCGATGAAAGGCCAGGAAGGGGCTCTGCTGTTTCTATTCCAGAATTCAAATCCCATTTCCTGTTATTGGTGCTTTCAGCCTGAATATTTACATAATTTAATTTTTGAATCAGATGAAAAACTAAAGCGAATAGTAAATATCAGTATAAATTATTAAGATTTATAAAAACAATACATAATTAATGCATAAATTGCATTTTTCAAAATTGGCTTAAATATATCATTTTCATTAAAATGTGAACAGCCCAAGCCATTGTTAAAGAGTTATACATTTATCAGACAAAATATTAATTTAATTCCATACATTTATAAATTTTGACACTTTACAAATCATTTTTGACGCTTTACATGTTCCCCAGAGTTCGAAAATTATTTGGTCGAGTCTCCAAATGTCCCCCAAGCGACATCCTTATTTATATAAAAATACAATTTATTCTGGATAGTATATTAATAAAATTATAAATAAAAATAAAAATTAAATAGTAGCAATCAATGAGTTAATGATTGCTTGCGCTTTCTCTTGTGAAATGTATGTTCGTTTCGTTTCATTGAAAACACGTTGAAGAACTGGATGAAGTTCATATAAATGTTGATTAACTGGACTCAGTTTTTGGATCTCGTCCATCTTGAATTCGTCATCTAAATACTTCAAAAGACCTCGTTTCTCAAGTTCAACATACCAATTGAAACAGTTAAATGCGTCTTTGTTGCGTTGGAAGAATTTCTTGATAAGCATAAATGTCTCTTCAACTTCTGGATGTTTCATCAACAATGTGATTGAAATAGCAGCAATGCTTGCCCAGTCATCACTCCACTCGAAATTCTCAACGTGGATAATGTTCTCGGGATGATACATGACACTCAAAACACCCATGACTGGGTCATAAACACTAAGACGTAATATCATGTCTGTGAGAATATCATTATCATCAAATGCACTGGCAATGATTGAAAATGCAAAAATTGGTCTTTGTAATAATGGTAATCCTGTCATGTTCTCGACTGATGCAAGGACTGGAATAGACATCATCGAGTTGATAGAATTTTCGAATGCAGAAACATTCAACAATTTAAGTGCCGCATTACTTTTCGTTGTGAATAAGATAACAATGGAAATCAAGATCATGTATGCACAGATTCGTTCGCTCATCTCTAACATAGAGAAACAATAACACAACAATGAATTATTCTCTTCCGATCCAAAATGAATGTATTGGAGAATCAAAAGAACTAATTGATCTGCACATCCAATGTAAAATGAACAACAAAAGATGGCACAAATATAATTAGAACGTTCATCATTGTTTTTCAATAATTGTGTTTCAAACAATTTATAAAGTTCAACACGGATTGTGAACATTCCTAGTGCACCTAATGTTGCACCTAATATGTTTCCGAATGCACATAAATTCTCAGCCCATTTTTCGAAATGATCGTCATCTTGTTGAATGTACAATTCAACTAATTTAGTGATATACATCTGGACATCGAAATTGGAATGCAATGTGAGCATTGCTAATATGTTATTTAACATGCGACTCATCTCGAGTCGTTTAGTTGGGTTTGTTTTAGGGCGTTCCCAAATAATCTTGTAAATCAATGCTGGAACTGCTGTCGCATAAAATTCATCACCCATCAATAAACTATGGATTGCATCATGTGAAAAAATGTTCTCTGGGAATCGGATAACCCAATATTCACTAGAAAACTTGATGTTCAACTTCGAAATGAAGTTAATAATTGAGATTGTTTGTGGGTTTTGTAATGCATTCAATACTTCGAAAATAAATGTGATTGAACGTTCATCATCAAATTTGGACCATATTAAGTTGTTGAACATGACTTGTGATTTCTCGTTTTTGATGTAGAATTCGATCAATTTAGAGAAACAAATGACATCTTCGCCATCAATTCGAAGATTCTCAACCCATGGACTTAAATAAATAATTGTGTCTGGAATGACATTTTCTGGTATCTGAGGAACTGTTTTCAAATATTCGTAAATGAAATTCGCTGTTTCAATAACATTTAATTTCGCTAAATCTTCTGCCAATTGATGAACCAATGCTTTGCATGAAGGAGGCATCAAAGAAATAGGACAGTTGATTGGTGACAAACTACGCAAGAATGGGTAACTTAAATATGTGGAATTGATGACTTGGAATGCTGAGTAATTCAATGATGCATCATTACATGAATCAACTAAATTTGCAAAGCTAATAATAACTAATAACCATTGCAAACTTTCTTCTTCAACTGAGATGTAAACAGAATGTTTCTGTGTAGCACGTTGTAATGCGGTCTGGAACAATGAATATAAATTAGAGCCTTCTGGAATCATAAATGAATATTGTTGACGGTTACAACCGAAACTGAAGCCATCTGATGTTCTCGTAGGATGTGAGATTGTGTCATATCTCAATATTGTCATAGTGAATGGTTCATTTGGAAAACCTTGGATTGGTTTCATGATTTGGATTGTATCTTGATGAATTAGAACAACAACTGTAACTGATTCATATTTTGCAGCATGTGCTGATTCGTAATGACTTAAACTCTCTTTGGCAATTGTTGACAAACTAGGTTTAAAATGGATTTTTGACTCAATCTCTTCAATTGATTTAGGAAATATGATTTTTGAAAATGGAATTTTCTCTTTGTGGTCTGTCATCCAATTTCCAAATTTGTTGCATGCACATACAATAAAAACGGATTGTAAATTGTCCGACATCTGTTGTGGAGCCATTTCCAAGTATTTCAAGATGGATGAAAAACGTGGAATCATGCTTTTATCAAATTTAGAAAGATCTGCTAAAATCCAAAAATTCTGATTTTTCAGAGATGATATTGTTTTGAAGATGAAGTATGCAAGGACAGAAACATCGTTAACTTTTGGTAATTTAGCATTATCTAAAATAAATAAGTTAACTGAGTTATCTGGTGAAGGATCCCTGTAAAACCATTGTTCTAACAACTGCATTGGCTCGTTTTTGAATGATGAATTCATGAATTTGTTGAATGCGTTGGAAGAGATCGCTGGTTGTAGGGAAATGTAGTTGAGAGGGCTGTTCTGAACAAGTTTTGATTTTCGGACATGAGATAAAAGTTTTTCTGCACTCTTACGAACACCATCGTTTTCTGTCATCATGGTCATTTTTTCTTCAAGAGGTCTTAAGATTTCAAGAAAGTTAAGTATTAATATTTGTGTGACTTTTTCTTCATCAACATCGAATGATTCGTATCCTTGGTCTGAGACATCTAAATTGATTAACCCCAAAATAGAGTTTTGGAAATCAATTTGTGATTTAGAAGCGATATCTTCCAAAAATGCATAGTTTTCTCCTTTATCTTCTAATGATCCTTTAGTAATTGTAGCCATTAAAATTGCAGAAATAGTCATCAAACATGATCTTGCTTCTTCAGACAAATTCCCTGGTAATCCTAATACAGACATAACAGAAAATGCTGGGAAAATAAATCTCAAGAAAATAAAACCATAAACAATTTGAATTCCAAGTCCATCATAAACTTCGTTGATTCTATGATATATAATTTGTGCTGCTCTAACAACAGGAATTGGTAATGATCTTAATGCAGACAAAATAGTGGAGATTGTTGATAGCAAAATACTTCTAAAATTGTCACGATTCAAATTCAAATTTCCGTCAGTAATTTTTGATGGATTTATCTGACATTTGACACCACGATCAATTTCTTTGATGATATTCAAAATCATTGGTTTGAATGATGATTCCAACCATTGCTGGCCGAATAATTTTGGGAAATATGAAACTAATCTCGAAGGAATTCCGTTTCCTCTGAAAATGGAATTCTTTGTTGCATCTTGGATTCCTTTTAATTCAAGAGTTATCATGTAATCAACGAATTCATAATGAATATTTTTGGAAACACTCGCTTCAAGAAGAGTTTTACCAACTTCTTCTGATTTACTGAAAGGAATAAGGTCAATTATTGATTCAACAAGTTGGAATTTTGTTTCAAAAAGAACATCAATGAAAGATTCCGATTTTTCTTCTTTAATTTCGTTCTGATTTTGTGCAGGAGCAAGAGCAGCAGCAATAGCAGATAAAAAGACAACACGTGTTGAAATTGTTGGTGAAAAGAAAGAATCCATCGAATGAATGATGGACATCTTTAAATTGTTCTTGAATAAACATGTCAACATTTTTTGACAATTATCTTTCAATTTCGGTTGTTGTTTAAGAACTAACAATGCGATATTAATGAAGAACTTAAATCTGATTAGTTCATTTTGTGGATCAAAATTGACACCGTCAAGTAACATCGCGAGAGAATCAACTAAAATAGCTGTCGCATTCTTGTTTTCGAAACAAAAATCTGGTTTAGAAATCCACATTCCAATTGTGTTTGCCAATGAACTTTTTGCACCTACTTCGACTTCTTTTGTGCGTCTTGATAGGAAAGCAACAATTAAATGGCCACAAAGTACATGGAAATCGATAATTGAAAGAGTGTTGCAATATGCAGTTGAATCGATAACGAAATTTGTAACAATCTTGGTGTCAATTGGTGTATCATCATAATATGGTTGTTTTAGGATGTTTCTCATGACTTTTACGGCATGATTAACGTAAATATTATTTTGAGTGTTGGATTCGAAAGCTCCTGAACTAGTCTTCATCAAATCAAGGGTTGATGACATCAATTGTGCTATTGATGTGTAAAAGCAAGGAAGTAATGCTGTTGACAAACAATCTGTAACAACTTGACCGATAAAATCATCGGATTTTAGGAAATTATGGATGAAACTGATTAATGTATCTTTTGATGGCGACATCAATGAAAGTAATAATGATAAAACGTTTGGAAATTCTTCTTGAACTGTAGATTCGCTTTTATTGATTCTGTTGACTGGCATTTCCATGATACATTTATCAGGAGACATGAAATTAATCAATGAGTTGAAATAAGAGAGCAAAGTATTGAATGCTTGTTGAATTACAGATGATGGCTTTTGAATTAGCATAAGAGACTTCATAAAGTACTTGTGTTGTGCTTGTACTGATGATCTGTTCTTGCAATTAGTAACTAAGGCTTGGTAGGCTTCAATTGGCGAAGATGAAGTTTGATATATCGAAGCTTGGCGGTTAATGTTAAGAATTTCGCCAATAATTGAAACAGCAACCTTGCAAACTCGAGATTGGTTACTTGGCATGAGAGTTAATGCGGTAACTTCAAGGTTATTTAAGACGATTTTAAATTCTTGACTGGAAGTAAGCTCTTCGTGGTCAAGAACGTTAACATCTGATAATTTAAAGAGGATAAAACGTGCGATTTGTAGGACAACTTCAGGGATATAATCATAAAATGTTGTAAACTTGTCGAGATATGATAAAATTACAAGTGAACTGAATGAAAATGTGATAGTTATCAAACTTTGTAGAAGATTGACATCTAAAACTGGAGTATCTTTCCTTTCAAAATCAAAATACTTCAATAAAGCCGCACAAATGTTGTAAATGTTATGATTGTAGCATTTTATTATGATACTGCCGATGAAGGAGCTCTTTTCGTGAAAGAAAAGTTCTAATAGTTTAGGACATTGTTCGAATCCGCTGAAAATGTGTTTGATGCATGGTGAAAAGTATTTTTCTGATGTCATTAATTCCATTGCGTTGATAGTTTCTTGGATAAGTTCGGACGAAAAATGATTTAAATCTGTATGTCGACATAAATGAGAAATAAACTTGCAAAAGTAATAACCATTAGATGGAAAAACTGATAATCTAAGAATTGGAAGAAATTTTTTTGTAAATAAAATTTGATCGTGAAAGTATAAAGCCAAGCCGTAATTAACGAGTAATGAGTAGCATATAGGGTTTTTTGACTCAAGGAGCTTTCGAATTGTGTGCTCTATGAAATCAAGGACTGCATTAAAAAGAGGAGTTGTATGTTTGCCAAAAATTTCGATATTTTTCGTTTGTGCGATTAAGTAAAAGTTAGAATTGAGAGATCTGAGCATTGCTTCTATATTTGAGTTAATTGCGTCTGCTTTTTGTATTTCAGTGACCATTGGCTCGAAATCGTCATAAAAGACATGATTATTGATAGCATTTGGGAATAAAGGAAACAAGGATACCTTTGCGATAAAAGATATACTGAATCTACGTTGATCCCACTCTGCAAGTTTCGAAATAATAATCGCTGCAGGTTTAAGATCTTTTCCTTGATTAAACAAGTCGTACATTTCGTATGGATGACATTTGAGAGTGAAAAGCATCATATCAATGAACGCTTGAGCGATGCAAGGTCTGCAATTTTCAGGGACATCTTTTACGTTCGGAGCAATAAGAGTTAAAACTTGTCCAAACGAATTTGTACTGTATGATAACCTAATGAATGGGTTTAAAGCGTTTTGAAATGCAATAGGGTCCGCTGGTTTTTTAAATTCGCTAAGAAAAATTTGGAGTATTATATCGAAGATTTGTTCATTGTTGTCTGCTATGAATGCAAAAAGCAATTCAAATGCTTCGCGAAAGTAATCTGAATACTGAATATTAATGCCAGAAAAAATCCTGATAGCGAGGGTTGTATAGATTCTTAAAGTCTGGCCTTTCAATATAGCGTTGCCTTTAATTGATATTATATGGTGTAAACACATTCTTGCAAGAGCGCAATATGTTGAAAATTTTGTTTCATCTGCTTTTTGTATTGTTTTTTCGTTTATTCCAGCAGTCTTGACGATTTTATCTGTAACTAATGCCATTATTCCATCAAAATCGTTCGGAAGGAGATTTAAAATCACAATGCACCCTTCATTGAAATTATTCTTGAGGATTTTCTCTGGATCAAGCTGAATACTTCTATTCAATGCGAGCTCCTTATCGCAAATATGAGTAATACTTGATTCCAAGAGTTCAAAATAGTGCAGAATAATTTTTCCAAACCCTTGCATTCAAGATTTTGACAAAAGCTGTATATTTTGAGTGGGGGACAAACTCGCCCATTGTCACTTTTCATTAACCTTAAACTTGTAATTTTCATTATTTTTAATTAACCTTATTTCTTTCCCAATTCCTGATTTATTTTATTCACTTACTATTAAAAGTCACATTTTAATAAAATATAATAATTTATTTATAGCATTTTTTACTATACTGTAATAAAAAATTAATTATAATAAATTAAATGTTTATTAAATCAAATGTTTTCTTTGCAATAATATTTTTAATGTTGAGTAAACAATGTTGGGATCAAGTGTATCATTTTTCAGACCTTTCTGAACAGCTTCAAGCATACTGATGCATTCGACTTTTTGAAATTGTGTCATTTCTTCGAAATCTCTTGTGACTTTTTTGATAACTTTAACACTTCTCTCTGAATCCAGACCTTTAATTTGCAACTTAATCAGGAATGAAGGAACAACACTGGAATATAACTCGATGACAAGTTCATCGAGTCGAAGATTTCGCCTTTCTGGGAAGTACTGGTGCTTCAAAACCTTGAAATGTGATTCCGAGATGTTGTTTGTTCCATCTCCTTCATTTCTATAGCGAAGCATCCACCTGTCAAGATGATGGCGCCACTGTCGGTCAAAGTATTCACGGGCAGCAGGTTCCTCATTTAAAATTTCTTCTAAATTGTTGTAAACTTCATCAGGATCAATTTCTTCCTCTTCAGAACCAAAGACCAATAACTTCATTAAGTTATAGAAAGTTTCGAAGTTGGAACGATCTTGAAACTTTTCAGCCTTTCTCATGACAGCGCGCAACACATGAACGCCACACCAAATGATCTGGCATAAGGGGATGGCTGTTTCAACAGCATTTGTGATTTGAGGAGTTAGTATACATATCATGTGTACTGAGGCACTGCGTTCCTCCGTACGCAATACTTGTGAATTTGACACTTTACAAAACCGTTAACGTATATTTTACAACACGAACACAAACACCAACTTAACCTTAAATATTTATAAAGCCGCCAACCACTTCACCTTACTACTGTAAAAATAAACGTTCTCACTTACAAAAGTATTGCAACTCTTCCCATTGCTGTGCTTCACACAATAGTTCATATTCTTCAGTATCGCTGCTGTCGCTCCAATCGTCAGAGTCAAAATCACTGTCAAAATAAATGTTAGTAAGTTTTGACAAAGCTAATGAAACACGTTTACCGTTTGTATCGTATGCTTGTATAAACTTTCCATTCTTCATTCCTTCATAAACGCTCAAACTAACTTTACCCTTTCTCCCTCGTATCTGATAGAATGTATTTTCACGAGGAACGAAGAACAAATTCTTGAACTCATGACCGTTGTAGTTTGTTATCTCAATAGTTTTCGTCATTTATGTAAAAATAAAAATAAAAAATAAACTTAAAAATTAATGATATCACCACCCTCACACGTATGAAAACATAGCACAAAAATAAATTTAGGTGAAGTGGTGAGATCTCACCTCTTTTTTCACCTGTTTTTTCACCCGTTGAATTCATTGCTTTATAACTCTCTTCCTTGGTTTCTTTTTAGTTGCTTTCTTCACGTCTGTCTCCAACTTGACTGTCTTTCTTCTTCGTCCGTAATGATACCAGTTACTTCCACCAGTCAATGGGTCAAATGGTCTTTCGTAAGGGTTTCCATACATTCCATAGGGACCATACGGAAGAACTGCTGGTGGAGGAAGAGTTCCATCGACTCTATTTAAATGCATTGTTTCACCTTTCATCTGGTCATTAAAGTCTTTTGCGTGTTTTGAAAACTCATCGTCCTTTCCTAAAGCATTTTCCGACTCAGTCGCAACCAAATTGGATGCTTTATTTATGAGCCCTATTTTATTTAATCTTAACTTCTTTGCAACCCAGCCTCCAATCTTCCTTTATTTGCATCTAATGTCTTCGAAACCCTTCCTCCACTCATTTTATTTACTGCGTCATAAGCCCAAGTGCTTTTGCTCCAAATGCTAATGCTTTTGTTCCCATTGCGCCTAAAGCTGTCCAAGCTACCATTTACACCATATTAAAATCATCTCTCTTCAATATTATCTCATAAAAGTTCTCGTTACTGGAGAAAGTCAATGAAACATAAACATTCTCATGGACTTCGTCCTCGCCGCGTTGCGGCTTCATAAACTTCTTTCTTATCTCATCTATTCGCTTCAAAATGTCTGAACAATTGCTAACATCTTCTACAACAGTTATTTCATCATGACTGACCTTCAAGAACAAGCTCATTTAATATGCTATTAAAATCATCTCAATAATGAGTCCATCCTTTCCATCTTTAGGTAGCACAACATCTTTCATTGAAGAAGGTTCGACAAGTCTTATGTTAAACTTACTGACAAAGTTTGTTATACTATAATGCTTCGGTGGCGAATACATGTAGTTTGAAAGACATAATATAGATTCTTCAGCAAATTCACTTATACTGGATTTTATAACAATGTTCTCACGAGACCAAATACCACCAATTGACAATCTTGTAAGCAATCCTGCTGAACCTTCTACTGTAAACATCGATGGTAACATTCCACGAAGGTCATCTATTGACATCGTTGAGTCACTGAATTTAAATATTTTCTTAAAGCAATCGTCATTATCTAACCATGCAATAGCTTTGAAGTTTTCATTCGAATATACATCTGCTTCATTAAATGTAAAACCTGACTTCTTTGCAGAGATGACTTTAAAATCTATTGAGTTTGTTTCAAAATTATATGCTATGGTAACTTCTGAAGGTAATGGATGCCCTTCCGCAGTAGTTGTTCTCTCACTACCGTTTGAAGCTTTGTGTTAAAAACTTTCATGTCATCTCCTGTGTCTAGGTTCACATACACAGCAATGGGAAAACTATCTTGCTTCTTTGTTTCATCATTATACCTCAAAACATTAAAGTTCTTCAATAATATTGTCCTTCCTGCTGGAATACTTCGAACCTGTCTGATTTCAATAGCTTTCTCACCTCCTACATACTCTACCCAGTGTCTTGGATATTCATAAGTATACTGACTTTCTTGAATTTTGGTAGGTTTCATCATAACGTGTTCATAGTATATCTTTATACTCTTGTCAGTTAGACTCGGTGCTATGTTCTGAATATTTCTGACTTGCATTTTTAATGAAGATAAAATGAAGCATTTAATACATGACGTAGATGAAGACATGAATGAAACTAGACAAACTTAACTCTTCTCTCATTCTTCCTTTCAGTAAGGACTATGAATTCTGTTCAAATGGTGTGTATTTCTATTGTGGAAAGATGGGTTCAGGTAAGACATTCAACCTCATTCGTCATATACTCATAACAGAACGTTTAGGAAATGACTCATATTATGACCAAATCATTATATCAGCAACTTCAGACTCTATGGACTCAACAGCGAAAACATTTATGTCAAAAGTTCAAGCCTCTGTCGTTAAAGTTCCAGATAGCGAACTCATTGAATTTCTTCAACGTTACATTCGACGTAAGAGGAAATATTATGCCATCGTTGAATTTATACAGTCAGGAATGCAAAAGACTTCAGAAGAGATGGAAAGAATTATTGACAAACACCACTTACGTCAATACTCAGGAGTTTACGATATGAAACGACTTACAAACTACATTCTGTCAAAACTTTCAAAATACCCCTTCAAAAAGTATCCTTCAAATACTCTGCTCGTTTGCGACGACTTCGCCGGAAAAGGTTTAGTGTCAAAGCCTGACTCACCATTAGCTAACATCATTACTAAAGTCAGACATTACCACTTAACTGTAGCAATACTTATGCAAACATGGCGTTTCTTGCTTTAAACATAAAACGTCTCATAACTGACTTCGTTATCTTTCAAGGTTTCTCACGCTATGATATTGAACTCATTTGGAAACAGTCAGGTATAACATTACCTTTTGAAGAAATTTGGGAAGCATATAAGTCTCTCATCTCTCCTCGTTCATACCTTGAGATTCATATCATGACTAATACCATTAAAGTCAAAAATATTCCATGGGAACGACCAACATTGTTTTAAAGTTTAACCTTCAATTGACTGATGGTAAACAAATTCCATGCATCTCTGTCGCCATTTCTGTTAATATTTTTGCTGTCATTCATATCATCCACTTCCCATCCGTTACTTTTGAGGATATGCGTTAGAATAGCTGTTCTTAAATGAAGGCTTTTCACCTTTGAGAGCATAAACTCTATAACTTTCTGCATACTTTATGTTTGAACCTCCTGAGCCATCATTGACATAAATTTTTATAGGCTTCCACCCTTTGTTCATGTTCCTGCTTCTTCCCTTAGCTCTTTTGTTCAGTAGTTCTACATCTTTATACACAGCACCTGTCTCAGTGAATTCAACAATATTTTCATTCGTTAGCTTTACATTCAAACCCTTGTCGAGTATATTGTTCATTTCATACATATAAAAGGTTTTTATTCTATATGAAATGAGAAGCAAATCCATCTTAGCTGGTGCCGTTAATGTTCCAATTGAACCAACATCAAATGTTGACTCACGAACGACAAACAATATTGTCATAAAGAACTATAGTTCAGAGTGTTTGAAAAAAAAGAACCAGAACTGAAATCCGTGAATTTAAACACAGCTTCAAACGCTAACGCTACATCAGATGTTAAGTTAGAGTATCCACCACTGGACCAAATTCTTTCAAGAGAAGCCAACGACAACCCTTACATAAATGTTCAAACAAATCCTTCAGATAACGTAGACCATTACCTTCTTCAGTTATACCAAACAATTTTACTCAAAGACGATAAGAAGCTTTTGACAAATCTTATAAGCAAGAACCAAATAATTCTAACAAAGGAGGACCTTGAAAATGTTATATCACGAATAACAGGGAAACAATGTGTCATTGACTATCTCGACCCTGAAATCGAATGCTGTGGTCAAACGCCACCATTCATGAAAATAGGTAACATCCGCATCATTGAAACACCAGGAACTACAGGAGTTGAGTTTAAGTATAAATATTCGAACGAGTATACAAAACTTTCAACAGAATATAAGCTTTGTTTGAAATATTTTTAGTAAATTAAAGCAATTTGTAATATCTATCCAAAACTTCTTCAACAGTATCGAACTCATCTTCATAATGCAAACCTAATCTTATTGACTTGGTGCAGTTTTCACTAACACAATATAGCGCTTTGCGCTCGGCGCCTTTGACGCCTTTTTCTGTTCTCTTGACTGACATAACTAACTCATTTGTTTCATCAAACAGCAATAACCAAAGTTCATGACCTAATACATAACATTCATACTTTATATTTTTAGCTCTGAGTTCTCTTGTAAGCTGTTGCATTTAATATTTTCTAAAAAGTCAACTTCAACAGTCATTCGCACTGGTGCCTTCAGTTCTACAGGCTCTCCTTGAAAGTCAACAAGTCTGAATTGCATGTCTTTCAAATTATGAGGACTAATGCGAACCCATTTACCTAAATGAGTTACTATGACAGGAACGTTTGGAATGAACATTGAATTGACTGCATAACAGAAGGATTTATATTCTACTGAACCTTTACTATTAACTCCTGAAATACCTGTGACATTAGCTATTTTTGACTCAACGTATAAACAATTACCATAACATACGTATGGAACAGATTTCATCTCAATCGTTTTGTCAACACTTTTCAAAGGACATGTCATATGGTATGCTCCCAGAAGCAATTGAACTCTATGACTCATTCGTGTTATCTTAAACTCCTTCGCATAACTGAACTTCAAAACTCCTGCAATAAGTTTAACATTCATTAAGTTTTCTTCGTTCTCCTTGTTTATTGTAGTATTTATGAGCGCATTTAACACTCCAGCTAATGTTTCCATCTTATATTCTACATTATTGTGAAATCTTATTTCGTGCTTCTTTCCATCTATTTCAAGCTCCATGAAATCTGTTTCATCTGTTATAACGAATGAAGCGATAGTATTGAAGTCAACAACTCTGAAAGCAAGCGCTTCATTCTGAAGACCTAAGTTTGTTTGTAGCTTTACTGTCCCGTATTCGTTTGGGTCTGTACTTTGCAAATAGAACAACATTTTATTCTCATTAAAATATGAGTATTGCTGCATATGCGTATGAAGCTGACAGAGCTAAACGTTTATATTTTGGTCAATACTCTCTCACACTTACTGACAAATATATTGTTATTTCTGATGGAAATACCGAGAAATACATAACATGGAAGGACTATGAAAAGTTTGACCCTATTTTAACTCCATGTACAATGCCATTCATTGTAAATGGTGAAGTTGTCATGAAGAACGACACAACTGTTTATAGGTCTGTATATGAAGCGTTAGAATATATGTTGAATTATAATCCCGAAAGATTTGACCCAAGCACTACGTCATGTACAATGCCTTTTATTAAGGATGGTGAAATCGTAAGAGTTCCGAATTCAACGGTTTACACAGCTGTTCAAAACAGTTTACAAAACATTTTAGCGAATATCTTTAATTCAGAAACTACAGAAATAAAATTACCATATATAACAGATGCTAAAGAAATTAAATCAAAAACGACAACATTATTTACGTCACTTAATGATTTAATGACTTATATCATTAATATTCCTGCACCAACTACAGCATTTGATCCAAACTCGACGGTTTGCAGTGTACCTTTCATAAAGGACAGTTCATTAATTGTTTTAAGGGATTCAACAGTTAATGAATCATTAAAGGCGTCATTAATGAAAATCATTGATTTTAATTCATTCACGAATACATATAATTCATTCATTAATGTTTCATATGCTTCTAAAGAAGGTGAGCCAAAAACTATCGATAAAGCGGTGTATGAAATAAAAGCATCAACGACGAAATTGAATTCGTTAACTTTTGACGGTGATAGTTTCGTTAATGACATAACATCGGGGAAAACAATTTTAACGAAAGAATATTTAAAATCTCATGTTAGTGAGTTCGTTGAAATTGAAAAAGAAGGTGGAATTAAGTTCGATCCACTGAATTTCATTTTCAGCTTAGCGAATGCGGGTGTTAGTTTCGCTGAATGGACAACTATACAGAGTGAAATAAATGCAATATGGACGTTTTTGGGGTCAAAAGCGGGAATGGGTGAGCTTGTAAATGCTGCAAGAACATTAGGTGAAACAGGAAATTTTGTAGATGGTTTTAAAAGACTTGTTTCAAATGTTTTAACAAACACAAAGAAATTATTTAGATATACCATACATAACGGACGGATTTTCGAACAGGTAGCAACAAACCCTCCGGTTATGGCTGCGTTGATGATGGTTAGAGATATAAAACCACGTAACGACGGGAACGAAGAACATGAACAACAGAGCCCAACGGGCTCAGAGCCACATAGTGGCGAGGATACTGGTCGGGTTATTCAAGACATTAAAAACGTGTATCCTGAAGTTATTGATTTATTTAGAGGAGTTAATGATTCAATTTCAAAACATTCTATAACCCTCGATGAAGAGAATAAATTAACAGATTATATATTCGTCATTATTGCAGAATTAATGAAGAGAATAAATGAAAAAGGAATTGGTGATATCATTAATGTCAGCGATGTAATGATGAAAAGAAATTTTGACTCATTATTTACAAAACCGAAAACAGAATATAGTCTTTATGACGTAATTACCGAATTAATGAAAAAGATTAATGATAATAAGAGTTCTGGCGGAAGAGTTGAATTAGAAGTGAATGATGTTAATGAGAAATTAGCCGAAAAAGCAGATAAAAACCACGTTCATTATATAACTTCAGACGAACAGATTATAACGGACTACCATGGATATTTAACACGAAGTGATGAAGCGAAGACAAAAAATGTTAATGAAAGAAGATATAAATACATTCGTGCTAAAGGTTATGACATAAGCTGTACTGTACAGTATGACACAGGTAAAGCACCAGAAGCATTTAGTTATAACGATGAAATTTATGCCTCTACTTTCTCTGTTAATGGTGTATTAGTTGAACCAAGATTTATGTTAAGAGTTAAGGCAAAAATAACGTTTGAAGATGCTATTAAAAGTAAAGCTGACAAAGTTGAACTTGACGCAACGAACAAAGTTTTGAAATCTCATAAACACAACATCTCCGATATAAATGAACTTCAAACTTCTTTAGACAGTAAAGCTGACAAGAACCATACACATAAATCCTTCACTACTGTTAGAGCAGACGACATAATATTGAACTTTGACCTTGGTTCAAGTGCACCATTAGAAAATCCAAGTACAAGCGTAAAAGATACTCTTAACAGTTTAGATAACAGTTGCAGGAACATTGAAAGTCATGCCAGAAACTTTGAAGCACATGAACTACCAGCAATGTTAGATAAGAAAGCAGACAAGAACCATACACATAAATCCTTCACAACTGTTGCTATAGAAAGTATTGAAGGAACGGTTGAAGAAACTGGTGGGGAGGGCGGAGCCCCGCCGCACGCGGCTGCATTATATTGTAAACCTCCTAACTTTCCACAAGGTTTAACATCGGATGACGACATAACGACGATGAGAAACATTAGATGTAAAGATGTTTATGTCATGAAGGATGAACATAATATTAAATTCACTGCTCAAGATTTATATGACAAGAAAGCAGACAAGAACCATACACATAAATCCTTCACTACTGTTAGAGCAGACGACATAATATTGAACTTTGACCTTGGTTCAAGTGCACCTTTAGAGAATCCGAGTACAAGCGTAAAAGATACTCTTAACAATTTAGATAAGAGTTGCAGGAATACCGAAGATCATGCCAGAAACTTTGAAGCATATGAACTACCAGCAATGTTAGACAAGAAAGCAGATAAAACTTATGTGGATGCAGAACTAACAAAGAAATTTTCGAAACCAGATACAATGACATTTACAACAGAAATTATAAATGGTGAACCAGCAACTCCATTTGAATTTGTTAGAGGTCTTCAACCAGATACTTTTGAATTTTTCTTGGATAATTCTATTGAACTAACATTACATTATAAAAGTGGAACAAATGCAACATTTCATCCGGGAGATACATTCCAAATGGTATTTAATGACATAAGTTCTTTAGAATATGTTTATAGAGTTATGAGCATATATGATTTAATATATCCTATAGGAGCTGTTTATACGTCTATGAATCCAATAAATCCAAACACTTTATTTGGTGGTAGATGGTATGAAATAGTTGACAGTTTTCCATTCTACACTAATACGCAGTCAATGAAGATGGGAGGTTCAAAGAAAATAGGTATTGAAAACCTTCCTTCACATATGCATAGGTTCAGTGGAAGAACATCTGTGGAAGGAAACCATTCACATTCAATAACAAAAAGAGGTTATACAAATCTTGCAGCGGGTTCGGATAGACAGGGAATGCATAGATATGATATCACAACTGACCCCAAAGATGTTAGCACAGGTATTTTCTGTGGAACTGCAGGAAATCATACACATGTTGTAGCTGGTATTACAGACCCAGCAGGTAATGGAAAAGATTATATGCCTCCTTATATAACAATGCACGCTTGGATACGAGTTGGTTAAAATCTTTAACTTTACATAAATGAGCTTGAAAGAAGTATTCGAACAACATCCATGGAGGTCATTTAAGAAGTTCAATGAAGCTGCAAAGAGTTCGGGATTTACTAACAGAGCTGAAGTGAAAAGGTTCTTTGACAAAAATGTTGTACATCAAACAAAAATAAATCCTTACGACTACTTTTTACCAATTTACTCCAACACTCCTGACGCATACCAATTTGACACTCTCATTCAAAGCAGAAAAGGAGGACATAAACCATTCCTCATCTTCATAAATGTTAACACTCGTAAAGCATATGCGTATATAATGAGAAATAAAGGAACTCATGAAGTGTTAAGAGTTTTACAAAAGTTTGTAGCAGAACATAGCCCAAGTATTTTAACATCAGACCAAGACGGTGCATACCTCAGCAACGAAATCACAGAATTTCTCATTAAGCATAACATAACTCACTACACTACTGAAGACCATAACCATAACATACTCGGTATCATTAACCGCTTCATAAGGACTCTCAGAGATTTAAATCAAGAGCGAGACTTTACCGAAGAAACAATGAAACATTTTCTCGAAGTATATAATTCCTCAACACATTCTACAACAGGACATACACCAAATTCAATGACACAACAACAAGAAGAAAAGTATATACAAAAGAAACGAAGCCAAACACAAAATATCAGAAATTCAACACAATTTACCTCATTCCTGGTACAAAAGTTCGTGTAGTTCTTGACGACAAACCATTGACAAAGAAACGTTTAAGGTTAAGTCGAAATTATTATATCGTAGACTCTACGCAAGGTAATGGATATCTTATAAAAGCTGCTGACGACTCCATAGCATTTTACCCTCGACATAAATTAGTCGAAAGTAGTAATGGCAAACTTGCTGAAACCATTGACGAAGCAAAGCGAGGAGTGGTTATTGAAATACTTGACTATAACACAAACGATGACACTTATAAAGTAAGATATGAAGGAGGCGTTGAAGATGTTATACCATCTAAGAACTTGAGAGAATCTAAACCAACTCATCTGGGACCATTAGAGCGGGAGTACTGGAAAGATAAAAACATGCCAGAAAGAATAAGAAAATTCTTCTAAACTTTTTCGTTGGATGTAAAATCAGACATGAATGAGAACAGTCATGATATCATTAATGGTACCATTTATTTTTGTCATAAATTTACACCAAAAATATAATTGAGGTGAAGAGGTGAGATTTCACCTGTTTTCTCACCTCTTTTTTCACCTCTTGAACTTTTTATAACATTCGGTCATAACTTCATCAATTTCATTTAAATCACGATTTAAAAACTCATTGACTTCATCTTCAACCGTGTCATCTTGTAATAAGAATATTTTCTTTAGTTTCATGTCAACATCCCGAACAGCACAAAGGATAAAATCATATTCATTTCTTCCGTTAAACATACTTTTTCTTTCTCGTTCATCGTTAAATAAATTATTGAAAATATAAACAGCGGTGTAAAAGTTATGTACTGTGTTAAATGTTGAAGCTTCACCTATTTTAGATTTTAGGATTCTTTTAGTAAGTAAATTGTTATCGTTCTTTCTCTTTTCCTTATCGTTCATGTCGAATCTGTCGAACCACATATCCTGTATTTCATCGAATTTACGAACTATAGAATCCGTCATTTCCCTGGTTAATGAGGGGTAATCATTATTAATTTTTTCATATAATTTGTCCATATGATTTTCATCGACGTTTCCGGAAAGCATTTAATTAAAGCAAAAATATATTATAGGTGAAGAGGTGAGATGTCACCTCTTTTTTCACCTGTTTTCTCACCCCAGTTTTTCACAAGCGTTTTACATGAATTGTACGATGTATATTTGAAATCCTAAACAATTTCGTAGCTTCTATTTCTTCTGTCAGTATGTCAAAAGTTTTAACAATGCCGAAAGTTTCTTTATATTTCTTCTTGACGTCAGATAGAAGGAAATCGTCAGCAGTTGGATAGTTTTTGTTCAGAAATGCTAACATGTCCATTTTATTTTCTGCTGGCTTTTCTGCTTCTTTCTTTAAGTCTGCATAGTCGTTTCGCATTCTTTCTATCTCTTTGACGGAGTAGTTATATTTCCTAATTGCTGCTTTACATTTAGAACATTGCGGGTTCATTTTTGCGTTATACATTGAAACCTTACCTGCTAAAACAACTAAAGCGTCAATGGTTTTCTTTAACTCAAAAGCAGTTGGTCTTATCTGTTCGTTCCATATTTTACCTCTTCTATCTTTATCTCTTATCTGCCATACACATTCAGCAACTAACGAAACAAAGTTATCGTAGGTCTTAAACTCCCCGGATTTATATATGTCAGAAACATTCTTATATACCATGTCGCAATCTTTGTCCATAACCTTATGGTTGCAATGAAATCCTAGAAACTCATAGTTTACCTTTCGAATGAACTTCTTTATTTCTACTGAGTCAGTTGGTTTCACTTCTATTTCATCGAATTCAGGAATAGTTAGTTTTTGATGCTGAATTTCAGGTAGTTTAGGTAAATGGTCAATAATGTCCTGCATTTCATAAAGATACTGTTCATTTGTTTCATCTTTCGCACTACAGTCTAAATTACTTGTTAAAAGTTCTTGCTTTATCTTCTGGATTTTTGTTTCGAAAGTATATGAAGAAGGAATGAAGCTTTTCATCTCTACTAACATAGATGTTGGATTCATGACTAACGAGTTTGGTGAAGTTGTTGTGGACAGAGTCCCGCCGTTCGCGGCTTGAATTGTTGTTGTGCCGATTGTTGAAATCATATCTTTACATACAAAATAAAAAAATAAATAAAAATAAAACTAACGTTATTTTTCTATCTTAAGGAAATTCATGAAAATTCAAGAGGTGAAAAAAGAGGTGAAAAAACAGGTGAGATCTCACCTCTTCACCTAAATTATATTTTAGGTCAAAGCTTCCACGAGAGAAAAGATTCCTCATTTGCTAAGGATTCCAAAAATGAAAAAATCATTGATTTTGGCTGAGAAAAAACAGCAAAACCCTTCTTCCACGGGAACAAAGAAATAAAGAAGAAATAAAGTAAATTTTTTATTTATTCCCGTGGAAGATAGAGCACTTTTATGACACTTTTTATTCACGACAAACAAGACAAATAAAGAAAATAAGAAAATACGGCGCTGTCGCGGTTCGAACCACAGACCCTGACCCCTCCATAACACCACCTTAGACCACTGTGCTACGTAGCCTGTCGACATAAGATTTTATAAATTGCATATTTGACGTAAATTTATTTCCATCTGGCTTCCCACTGCATAAGATATTCATACGTGTTTGTAAGACATTCATTAAACTTCTTTTCTATTGCATCTAATCTTGCGTTATTTTTTTCAATAACTTGTCTGTATTCTTCATCATCTCCAGCAGTGTTTGGGTCTTCACGTTTAAAATATTCATTGTTAACCAATTTTTTATCTACAAATTTTATTAGTGTTTGATTCACTTCGTTATGATAACGGTCATATTCTTTCAATACGTAAGTGAAGACAAAATGCGTCGTACCTTCAATCTTAAAGCTTAAAGAACTTTCAACACAGTTTTGAGGGTCTGTCAGTGCGTCAATGAGATAGTATTCGAAGTCAGTCAATAATCTTTTTAAAGTCATTTCATACAGGATAAAATTTAATGTTGTGAAGAAATAGTGTTTATCTCAGAAAAAATAAAGTTAGTTTTTATTTTATTTATTTTTTTATCCTGTATGTAAGAACAGTAATGTCAACATTAGAGAACACAACAACAGTTATAGTCCATGAAGCCATAAATGAAGAATACGAATACATACAATATAACAAACAATTGAGACTCATTCGTTCTGTCAAAGATGACATGTACCAAATGCAAAGTATAATGAACGCTCTTCGTTCTACAAAGCAAGCATATCATTGGTTTGAAAACCAACAGACAAAAGAACTTTTAGAAGAATTTCCTCATATGATTGCTTCCCTCGGAAAACCGAGGGAAGAGATTCCGTACGAAAATCGCAAGAATTTGGCACCTGGTTTGAAAGGTTATTATGTTCATAGACTTTTAGTAAACGCTGTAGCAATGTGGGCTTCACCTCGTTATGCTTGTTATATTTTCATGATGTTAGATGAACTATATAAAGCAGAACGCGAACAGATGGAAAAGAAACTTCAAGCAAAAGATGAAGTCATTGAATCCAAAGACAAAAGCATACAGAAAAGAATACCACGTTCAGTACCAAAAGGAAAGGAAAAGAGTTATAAGTATATGATTTATACTGAAGAGTTGGAGAAAGAAGAAGATAGAGATATGGTTATGTTGCATTTAGTCAGAAGAAACAACAAAAGCTTTTACGACCTTGCTAAAATATATAAATCTGACAGAAACTGGTTCTATCGTGAAAACTTACCGATTTCAATGACACCGAATGAGCAAATAAAAGAAATTGTCAAAAATACTCTTCCTCAAACACACTATGACATCAAAGGTTGCACAATACTTACCTTCAAAGAAGACTTAACATTACTGAAGGAAAAAATAACAGAATATTTCGATAACTTCAAAGAGGAAGAATGAAGTCACGACAACATTAACGAAGAAGTCACGACAACATTAACGAAGAGAGAATGAGGTGAAAAAACAGACCCAAAGGGTCAGAGCCGCAAAGCGGCTAGGTGATATCTCACCTCTTCACCAAAAATATATTTTTGGTTAAATAGCTTCAGGGTCAATTTCTTCAACCATTTCACTTCCTTCGTCAATGTCAATTGAAGCTTCTTCAACCTTTGGTAAGAATTTCTGTATAACATCTTTGTTCGTTATTGTCTTCAGAGATGAAGGATAATATTTCACAGATGTTTCACCCTTCTTATATTCTTTCTGTTCGGAAAGATTCATAGCAATACTGAAGAAGTCAATGTTGGAGTTCTTTATGACAGTATAGTGTGTATCTTTGACATTCACGAAGAAACCCTTTTGTTTCAAAACTACTGCTAACTCTTGTGAAGTATAACGTTTGCGGTCAATGACGATAGCTAATGGTCTGACATACTGACCAAACTTAGATTCTTTCACAAACTTCTTGTTAAAGATAACATTAACGTTTGAAGCATTATTGAACTCATTCTTGATGGCAGTAGCGAGAGCATTGTATGAAAAGAACTTGCAATCTTGCATGTGTTTCATTAAAATAAAAATATTAAATTATTTTGAAAAATAACTTAAAAAAAATCTAATCTAATTTTTTCAAAAAATATTTTTTTATTTCCTACTAAAGATGTATCGGAAGTTGTCTAAGTTAGAACACTCGGAAATAAAACAACTTCTTACAGAAGCTAATATAGATGTTGCAAAGCATTACGCAACAAACAAAAAAGCACTCGCTGACTTCATTAAAGACTATAATGGTGCAATAAGTTATGATAGAATTCATGAGTTCATAAAGCCGCAACGCGGCGAGGACGAAGTCCATGCAAGAGCATTTCCTTTAAATGACATTGCTATTGACTTATATCATAGACGTTCAATACCTCATGAAGTAAGAAGAGAGATGTTTGACATAACAAAGCCGCATGACGGCGCGGGCGTAGCCCATGCAAACGTTGGTGAAACAAGAAGAGCTGTACCTCATGAAGTAAGAAGAGAGATGTTTGACATAACAAAGCCGCATGACGGCGCGGGCGTAGCCCATGCAAACGTTGGTGAAACACGAAAGAGAGATGACACACTGAAACAACAGAGAAGAGAGATGTTTAAAAGTGCTATAGAACAAGTTCGCAAAGCTAACGATGTCATTCGTTCCATTGACGACAAACCAAAAGAAGGTGAGAGATGGTTAAAGAAAGATGAAGAGAATAGGAAGAGAAATGTGAAGTCAGGCAATAGACTCATTGACTTTAACATCGAAGCTTTAGATGAACCAAACAGAGACTACTTACACAAACATTTCGGTAAGGTTTTCATGAGACTCTTAGAGAAAATTAAAATAAACTCGCAACAGAGATGGATGGTATGTTATAAACTTGGTGGAAAGTATGAATGTTCTACGTTAAACCTCAATAATATTGGAACATTACTACATCAGCTCTTGAAGGAGAACTTTATATCAGAGATAGAAGCAAATGCTGCAGGTATTGTTGAAATGCACTATGACTTCTTCTTGACAAACATAAAGAATCTTACCGAAATAAAGATGTATGATTTAACAGAATATGAAGGCTTAACGATGTCAGATGTAAAGAAAGGCAAACCAAAAAAGAGACCATATAGAGATGAAAGCACACTGACAAATGACCAGAAAGCCATTTTGGAAGCTCTTAAGCAAACAGGAAACCCAGCACTTATAGAAAGCTTTTGGAAAGATAATGGTGAAAAGAAGTTTTATAAGAAGAGAAGCGGTCAGTTCTGGAAGTATCTTTGCACATTACCTATAAATCTTGAACGCTACCAAATCTTCAATGAACTGAACAAAAGAACTGCAACACTTATGACAGAGGACAATTGTTTCGTTTATGCTTGCATTCAGGCTGGAGTAAATGAAGAAACTATTGACCACATGAGAGAAGTCATTCGTGTTAGAGACTTTCCTCAAAGTAAAGTACAAGAAATTTCCGATTCAACAGGTATAGCATTTAATGTTACCATTGGTTATTTCAATGACTCAAGACATAATGAAATAAAGAGATATATACCAAAAGAATGCGAAACTGTTAGAACTATTGACTTACTTCTTGTTGAAGACCACTACATGCTAAATGAAAGATTACCAATGACAACATACTTCATTCGAAACTATATAGAAATCTTGAAGGAGTGTGGTGGAATGAACATTGAGAAACAGATGAAGATTTATACAAAGAGAGAAGATAAATATGTAGTTCGTTATGATAGAACAACACCGCTATGGGATGTTATGAAAACATTGTGGGAGTGCAAATATTTCGAACCTATTTCTTATGGAGAACTTTTCACATATACTACTGACTTATATAAACAGAACCTTGCACCATTTAAAGATTTGACATATGCTCCAAAGTATTGTGTACAACTGAAGAAGAAAGCAGAGTCAAAAGAAGTAAATAAAGCTAAATGTAAATTCATTCCTGAGCACGTTTTCTTTGCTGACTTTGAGTGTAGCACAGACGGCTTTCATAAAGCTTTTAACATCTGTTATGACAGTGAAGATGGTTCAGTGAGTGAAAGCATTTGGGGTCAAAACTGTGCAACAGAATTTTTGGAAAGACTTCCTGACAAGAGTTTAATATATTTCCACAACCTCAGTTATGACATAAACTTCATCTTAAGACACATGACAGAAGTGAAAGGAACTCCCATCATTAAAGGTTCACGAACAATGCAAATAACTGGTTTATAT